GAAGTGGTGCTGGCTCCCACCCTGGGGGTCTTTAAGACAAGGCTAGACCAACACCTTGCTGGGGTTGTTTGACCCCAGTACTCTTTCCTGCCTTGGCAGGGGGTCAGACTTGATGATCTGCTCAGGTCCCTTCTGACCCTACTAACTATGAAACTATGAAGATCAACAATTGTATTTGGTAGCTTATCTGAAATTAACCCTTCTTAGGCTCTAGGCTTATAAAGACTTACAAGCTAAACAATGTAAGAAGACCTTCAAGAAAATTCCAGCTGCTGCTGATTCTGTGTTTAAGTGCCATTCTTTTCTTCAAGTATGATTCCCTCTATAGGGCTTTTTCACTCGTGCTGCTGGAAGAATCATGTTTTATAGAATTCTGAAGTGAAGGTCACTGTCAGTTTAAGACACTAAAAAGACTATGATTCATTTAAGAAGGGTCTATATTGAATTCCAGTTTCTGTAATTGCATTTGGGATCCCAACATTCCTTCCTGAATTTGAATTAGATACTGTCTTTATTTACTGTTTAACACTATACAAAGATAGACTGCATTCAGCTGTCCAACAACTTTGGTGCACAAAAGGCTCAATAACCATGCTTATGTGCAATTCTGTCTACTTGTTGAGAGAGTTCCAAGTTTACAGGAGTGTGTATACGGTGCTTTTGAAGTAAAATTTCATGTCTAAAGTACTGATAAAGGCTTCTGAGTGACTACAAATGTTTTTTTTTGTAAAATGGGCAGACAGAAAGAGAAGTATAAGACCTATGAGGAAGCATGACTGAGAATATTTTAGCGTACATAAAAACATGGGGAAATGCTTAAAAATTTCACATCTTCAGAACTTTATTCACATCTTTCAGGTATCAGTTTCTGATAATTCAGTCCTTAATGCTGAGTAAAGGCAATGGTATTCTTTTTTTATAAATGCTTTTCTAATTAATAAAATATTTGGATTGTATTAATGATGTGGAACAAGTTTTCAATTAGTGCATATTATCCTATTACCACCACAACCACACACCTTTCTCTGAAAAAAGGGCCTATTTTTTACACTAGGAGCTTGGCTTACAGAAACAAAATCTGTGTAATCAACCAAGGGAAAGATTCACTTGCCATAAGTCAATTTGGTAACAGTCATGTTGTTAACTACAATTACCACAGTTACAAACTATGACTTGGTCTTCTGTTAGTCAACAAAACAGTTGATGTGGAAATCATGACAGGATCACTGTTTGGCTAACAGAAGCGTTTTACTTTACATGGCCATGGGAGATCAGCAAGAGGTTGCTGATGCTCAACAGAAGCAGGACACAGGTTCTGTTATATACTTGTGAGAAAAAGACACAGATCAGCCTTCCCCTTAATACACTCTCGGCAGTCTGACAATAACTCACCCTGGAGTCTTGCTAGACTAAATGCATTTTCTCCAGCTGTCTCCCGATAAGCTTATCTTCAAGGTCTTCTTGTTATTTGGCCTTTACTTATGCTCCTTATTATGGCCTAACTTTATTTTGCTTGCTCCAGTATTTTTCCTCATCACAGTTCTATTGACTTCAAAGGACTGTGGGAATAAGGCATGAAAAACTGAACTGTTTGTGCTTGTAGTGTTTTTCTTTTACACAGTAAGCTTTTAGGGTTTTTCTTTTATTGTATATGGCCAAACATGAATCTGTGAATTGCCATACATACCTACCTGCTCATGAGCATGGATTTAGTTAGGAGGGGCAGTTACCAGAAAAGCTAAAATCCTATGACAGCCCATGTCAGTTTTGGAGTTTAAATATGGCTGGAAATTTAAAAGCTGAAAAAAACAGTAATGACAACTACACACTATGCAGTCTTATCTATACAGACAGCTTTAGTTGTGATGTTACAGTGGTAGCCCCACCCTCCTGTTTTTTGAAGGAGGCTTATACCAGGACAGTCATTCCTGTACAGGAAGAGGAATAGGAACAACTCAACAAGGCTACTTCACCTTTATAGTAATATAACTGCCCGTGAGTGGATCTAGGAGTGCAACTGGTATAGTACATCTTCATGTATAACAAGGCATCCTTTTCTCAAAGTTAGAGAAACTGGACATTTTACTAATGAGCTAGGGGCCAAGGGCTTTATTTTTTTTTGTTTAAGATAAGAGCAAAATAAATAAATATGCCCTTGGAATGTGGATTAATTTGCTATATCATTTGTATAAAAATAATCAAGGTAAGTTACTTCATTAGTGCTGCAGTCATTAGAATTAAAAGGATATATTTTTCAGATTCATAAAACAAAATCTAGCTTCCTTGAGACTCTTGACAGTGTATCTACTGCTTCACTGACTGCTATTTACACACCTGAGTAAATGTTCACCTGTGTTAACACTGTCACACATGAGTTAATGTTTTTAGCTAGAGTTAAAAACAGTCTGCAGGACTGTGGAATAGGAGCTAGTTTACCAAGAACCATTAACAGAGAGCAAAATTATATAAGAAAGACTAGCTTGCTTGGCTGAACATCAAGCCCTTTATAAGGGAGAGCGGGTCATTAACACCTGTGGAAGGAGGAATTTAGAAGGAATCGGGTAGATTGTAACAAGCCATGAAGTCAACCAACTCCCTCAGTGCTGCCTCAATGGAAATACTGCTGCTACTGCTGGGCAGCTGATTTTTGACTTTGGGTGGAGCAGGAGTCAAAGCAGGATTCAACTGCACACCCACCCCATCTGCCCAGATGTTGCCAATACTAGAGCTTTTACTAGGGCAAGGCTCCTTTTGGTGGGGGTGTGCTTTCTTTTGAACCAACAGGTTATTCTGGCAAACCCCCTGGTGCAGGCATAGTTAAAGCAGGCTGTCACAGATTCTGCTGGCCTCCTGGTTTCGTTGGGGGTCCTTGCGACCAGCAGAGATGTGCCGGCAATATATCCAGTTGGTTTTTGCTGCTGCAGCCTTTTTTGTTGAGGTGGGAAAAAATTGTGCTGGCAGCAGTAGCAGTGCCTGGGGTACAAGCTGTGCCTGCTGTAGGGCTGCTTTGTGGCTCCCAGGCAGTGCAATGTGTGTGCATGCAGTGCAGTGCAGGCCTGTGTGTGTGCGTGCGCGAGTGTGCAAGCAGTCAGGACTCTGTGTGTGCGTGCAGCACAGCCCGGGCGGGAGGGGGGAGATGTCAGTCACAGGGACGGGCCCTGGTGTGTGGGTGTCAGAGCAGTGTCCCCTGGAGGGTGTGGGGGTGTGTATGTTTGTGTATATGTAGCACAGTCAGGACCGTTTGTGTGTGAGCACTGACCCTGGAGAAGGGTGGTACGTGGGTGTGTGTCGTGGGGGGGGTGGGAGGGTGTAGCACAGTGGTGTGTCACAGCGGCAGCCCGTGCCGGGGTGGAGATGTGTATGTGCGAGTCACCGGGACTGTGAGTTACGCGCGTGTGTTTGTGTCAGCGATGGCCGGGGGGGAGGGGCATGTGCCCGCGCGCCTGTAGCAGCAACGGTGCCGGCGGTTGGCGCGTGGGTGGTCGGCTCACTCCAGCTGTCCCGGCCGCGGCTGGCACCTCCTCCTCGCCCCGCCCCGCCCCGCCCTCCCCAGCTGCCGGGCCATGGAGCGACTGCGGCTGCAGCCGGGGGCCGCAGCGGCGGTGGAGGAGTACGCGGAGTACCGCAGGTGCGGGGGGGAGGGGAGGATTTGCTGTCGCCGCCTCGCCCTTGTTGCCGGGCCCTGCGACTTCTCCCGCCGCGCTCAGCCCGGCGCTGCCCGTGCGGTTCCCGGGTGTCCCTGTTCTTGCAGTAGCTCCGAGGGCGCGGGGGCAGCCCGGGCCCCCGGGCACCTCTGTCGGGGCAGGGGACAGAAAAGAACAACAGCTCGGGCAGGAGAAATGCTGAGGTGCTCGCGGAGGCTGCGGGATCATTTGCGTCACATCTGCCTAAAGGGTTGATGTAGCCCACCCCTCCTGCTCGAGGCAGGAGCATCCCGATCCAAATGGTCTTATGCAAGTGCCTGGCTAACCTGCTCCTAACATGGTGGGCTAAGATGAAGCAGTATCTGGGGACCTCCAGATCTCAAAACCTCCTGGCTGGGGCCTGCAGTAGGATGCCCACCAATGGATTTGGGAGTATCTGGAGTGAGGGTGAGAGCCTGGGGGGACAATGCTGCAGTTTGCAGCAGGTTGCAGCTACGATTGAGCTCTGCCTGCCCAGTCCATATGGTTTTGGGAATGATTCAGTTCTGCTCAGTTGGTATGATTTGGAACTGATGTGGCTGATTTGACTTGGAACACAAAGTATATTTAAAAAAAAAACACACAACCCCCCCCCCTTAAAATTTATGCACGCCCTCAGGGCTTGGGCCTGCACGTAGGATGCCTGCCAATGGATTTGGGAGTATTTGAAGCCCCAGGTTGGAAAGTCGGGAGTGGAGGATATTTCCTAGTTGTAGTACCACAAATTGTGTTTGAGTGACTGAGTGTTGCACAATCAAGAGGATTCAGAACTGCTTTGGCTGATTTGACCTGGAATACAAAGAATTTTCCAAAAAATCAAATCAAAACCCCTCTTAAAATTTATGTACGATAACCCTGTCAAACCACAAAGCAGTTTGCCCAGAAACACTGTCAATAACCTACTGCTGCAAGGTTGTTAAAATACATTCAAGAGGTCGAAGGATTCAAGATCACACCCTGCAATACAGAGGAAGGCAAAAATCCATGCCCACAGTCCATGCCAGCCTGACCATGGAGTAACATTCTTTCCTGATTCCAAAGGTGGCAACTCCCTAACCAGGAACCTTTCGCTTTCAGTTCCAGTGTGAGCATCAAGACACCCATCAAAATCTGCCTTGGCTGCACCCAACACCCAATGCTTTGGAGGAAGGCAGACCCCCCACCCAAAAAACCTCCAAAAAATCCCACACTGACACCTGTAGCAGCAGGAGGGGAAAACATTCCTTGACAGCCCCATGTGGCAACTAGCACAGCTCAAGCGTGGGGAAAAAACAAATGCCAAGTAATGAATGTTCTAACATGAGAAAGAATACCTTTTTCTGCTGACATGTATAAGCTCATCGCATGAGAAATATCAGAGATGAAAAATATGTTTCTCTTCCATGCCCAGGCCTGTTTGTATGTTGCCTGCCT